GGGAGGTGACCCACATGGCACAGCAGACCTCTCTGTCTTGCCCGCTGCCCCCTTCAGCAAGTGTATTTCCAAAGATCTGCCTGTTCTGCTTCCCACTCTGTCTCTGGTGAATCCTCTCACCCCATTGCACCTCTGGCCTGTACTCCAGTTCCTATATGCATAAATAAACAAATCTTTAAAAAAAAGAGTAAAGAAAGAGGAGTTACATCATTAAGGACTTTGAACAGAAAATTGCTGAGGTTGAGTAGAGAAGAGAACAGAATTACTGATTAGGATTTCAAGTTAGATCTTGCTAAAAGTCTCTTTAGTAAACTTCCACTTGCTGCAACTCAGTAACAGGCTAATTGCAAGTTCAGTTTTCCTCCAAGAAGCTTAGATCTGTTTTCAAAGGTAAGTGTATTGTCTCAGTGATGTTTGTGGAGCAAAATATTTAAAGGTGCTGAAAATTATGAAATGTACAAAACAAGTATATGCCATTCAAAGAGTTTTGACAAATGCATAAGCCTATTAACGAAACCCCTATCAACAAGCTGAACATTAGTATTATTCTAGAAATTTCCCTCACGCCTTTCTAGTCAATTCCTGCCTCCATTCCCTCTAGGACAAATACTATTATGATTTTTTTCCCATCAAAAGTTTTGCTTCTTCTGGAATGCCATGTAAATGGAATCAAAGTGTATGTGCCACTTCAGTTTGGCTGCTTTTGTTAAACATAATATGTATGAGACTCATTCAGTGGTTGTGTGTATCAATAGTTTGTTCCTTTTCAGTTTCTAAAGAGTGTCCCATTGTATTTTTACAGTGTTTATCTGTTCTTTTGTTCATTTTCAATTTGGGACTATTATGAATAAACTACAAATATTTCCATACACATGTTTTTTTGTGGATATATAATTGAGTTTCTTTTGGGAAAATGCCTAGGAGCAGTTTGCATGTTTAACTTTATAAAAAGTGTTCAGACCTTTTCCTAAAGCAGTCACAAGGACAGTTTTCAACATCTCTCTGGACTAAGCAGAACCACAGACAAGGAAGTTTTACTGAGTGTTTTCGATGGGCACTGAGCAGAGAAACTTCCTTAAACACAGTACTTCACCTGAGTCCTATACCACGCCTATCGGGTAGATATTTATTTTCCTCATGTTACATATGAGCTGATTGAGGCACAGAATATTAAGTAACTGCCCAAAGTCACACAGCTAGTAAGTGGCTGAACATGCATTTGAATGTAAGTTGAAGCGGCCATTTCTTTTCTAAGGAATCAATTAGTTTCCTAAGAATAAAAATTGCTTATGGTACTATGGAGACCACCTCTATATAGCAGTTATTTGTTTACATACACACTCCATCTCCCTATCCTCTTTAGGCTGATTTTTCTCCTCAGGCAGATTATCTTTTTCTACTTTGTATGCCCCAACCCAGCATATAACAAAAAGAATGAAAGTTGGTAATGGTAACTATAAAGATACTGTGTTAATCAATACACACTATAAATGTACATAATACAAAATTCTCACCGGCTATTTAGACGTGGTACAAATGGAGAACAGCAAGACAGACAGATGCATCTATAGCCGCCTGGAGATTTTTCAAAGTGATCTTCAAAGATACTCCATCTCTCGAGCCCAGTGCCATCCATCTATCTTCTCTTTAGAAGAAGTGAAGGTTTCGACCTCAGAGTCTCTTCTTTGGCCTGATTAAAAAGAGCTTGCTGCTTCTCTGTAATTAAAAGAAGGGAGCCTGAGGCTTTCCTGGAGAGGTGGATGAGCTGCACTGAGGCAGGGAGAGTATATTCTCGCCCACTGTTTTTTACACCAGCGGTGCTCAGTCTCAGCTCCAGATGTGCTTTGGGTTATGTCTAGGCAACGAGACACAAGTCCACCTCTCATTTAGGTCTCTGACTTTCTCTCTCGTAATGAAATTTATCCAAATCAGAGGGAGTTAAAAAAATCATAAAAAGAGTCACAGATTGGAGGTGTTGGGAAGGCTGGAAAGTCCCTGAGTTCTGAAAACAGTATGAAGTTTGTACTTTCATTCTGGCTCTTATCCTTGGGGTCCTATGAGAAAGTAGAGAATGTGATGTTTTATGTCATGCAGCTTGACTTACTATTTTTTATGGTACTGGGAAATAGCAAAATAATTCCACTCCTCTTGGGTCACATATAAGCTACCCCCAAAGTTATGGTAATTTTGTTAGGATCAAGTCCATACTCCTCAGGATGGTGTTTGAGGACCCTCGTATCTGGGCCAGCCTCCTGGCTTTCCACTCTTTCCTGTGTGCAAGGTTTGGGGAACAGCTTGCAGGTCCCTGTAGATACTACATTCCAACCCATTTGCCCCAACAAGAATGTCTTTGTTCCTCCTCCCTCTTCCCAGAATCCCTATTCATCCTAAAGGTCCCAGTTGAAAAGTCACAAATATGGCAATTATTTGTTTACATACACTCCATCTCCCAATCCTCTTTAGGCTGATTTTTCTCCTCAGGCAGATTATCTTTTCTACTTTGTATGCCCTAATGCAGCAAATGACAAAATTGAATATATCTCCATAAGAAAGACAAAAGGACAGAGACATCTGAGTAAACAATGAACCGCCCTAAGAGCTAAATTATTTGTTTTCCTTGCTTCACAGAATGCTACTTTCATCTTGTGGAGAAAATAAAATGCTTTTGGCTAGGCTGTTAAAACAGCAGTCCTTCCATATAGTGATAAGTTCAGTTGTCCCTCCTGTCTTTAAATAAAGCTCTCCTTACTGGCCAACGTCAAGGCATCTATTAGAATGTGCTTTCAAAACTATTGATTTATCACACATTGTAATGACAATTGGGATTTTTTCTGGACAACTTTAGAAAAAGTGATGTCTTTGAAAACTTCACTTTCCTTCCTTCTAATCTCAGAACACCTTTTCTTCCTTTTCGATCACATGCTGAGACATGAGCTATAACTTGGGCCTCTCCAGCTCTGATTCAGGCCCTACTGGCTTACATCTGGGGGCCACTGTCCTTTCTACTTCGTATTTTCTGTTCTTCATGAGTGCAGTCCTAGGTCTCCTCCCTCCCTGCCTGGGGAGAACGGGGTGACTGGAGCCACTCCTGTTAACTGGAAGGAATTGGGCGTTTCTGGGCACGAAGCCAGGAACTTGAACTTTGCTGAGGAATGGGATCTGGGCAGCTGCTGACCCTCAGAACAGGGCTGGCAGCCAGCTCGCAGGGCGCCCGGCTACCTGGGGGAAAGTCTTCTGCTCCTGACAACAGGCATTTTGTTCAGTTCTCCTGTTCTGATTCCTCTCCTGCTGCTTTTCTGCCATTTCCTGAGCCCTTCGGTAATTCTACCACTTATTAAAGCTTGCCATTTGCTGGAGACTTAAAAGTCTCAGACTTTGAGTCTTTTTCCTGTAAGAACTATATTCCACCTCCCCAATCCCCCCACAAGTTGAAAGCTGAAGGAGAAGATCAAGTTTCCTTAACTTCTTTTCTTTCAGGTTCCTGGAGCTGAGCTCTTTGGACCTACACGCCAGAGGGCCTATTTATCCTATCACCATTTTAAAGGTTCCCCAGCATTCTGTTTGAGGTTGATCTCTGGCCTAGAAGATGACAAAGGAATCAAATACTCTACATTCAGAAACACTCTTCAGAATGCTGAAGATCAGAAGGCTGCTGATCTTCACTTGCATTGTGGGTTTCTTAGTTCTCACTATTGGTTTTTGTTGTTGTTTACCTTTATTTATTTTTTTTGTCTCTGGGATCACATTCCTCATTTTTCTCTGTTGCTTTTCTTTTCTTTTGCTGCTCTTTTTCTTCTCTTATGTAACCTGCCTATCTTAGTGGAATTTTTCTCTTTTCTTCCTTCTTTATGATGTTTGGTCTGCTGTAATCAGAATGCCCCTTCCTCCCCCCTCCCTGTCTTCTGGGCTTTAACCATGGGTTTATGAATCACTGAAAAGCTTCTAGTATACTAATCTGGGGGTCAGGGCAATGTGTCTGTACTCAGGGTTGGATTCCTGGGCAGGTCTGCGGCTTAACTCAGGGGTGCCCTTCATTTCCCTCACTGCAATTTCAGTGTATCTTAAGGGCCTGTAGCAAGGGCCCACCTCTTCCCAGACCAGGAGATGCCCTTTCTTACTTCCTCAACTGGGAAAAATTTCTCAGAGAGACAACTGCCCTGAAATCTGAGTCACTGAAAAGTTATTTTGAAAACATTTTCCTTGACAGTCCTCTGCCTGATTGTTCATATTAACTGGCATTTTGTGGAAAGAACACAAGATTTAACACTAGATTTAACACTAGATTTAACAGTGAGAAGAGTTCTGGTTTTGCGGCTTATTGGCTGTGCAACCTTAGGCACATTACTTAACTTCTCTGGGCTCTTAGTGTCCTCACTCGTGAAATGGGGATGACTCGTGGGAATATTGTGAAGGTGAAGTGGCAAGGCAGGAAAGCACTTTCACACTGTATTGAGCTGGTAGAGTAAATGAGCAGGGAGGATGCCCTGATGCTTCTTTAGGTCCTTTAAAGATCAAAGTTTATTACACACTGAGATTTGTCTTAGTCATTTCATTTAGGCAGGCTGGGGGGAAAGCTACAAGCTAGAAAAGGCACAGAAACCCCTGTGATAACATTTCACTAAAATTGAAGGTATAAGCTGTAGGTATGTGGCTGTTTTGTCCATGGAGGAGCTAAGGAATTCTGATTAGCTTGAAGTTGCTACGAACTCACTCCCATTCGAGGCTAATATGGCCCGAGGGACTGGCTTTGGGAAAAAGAGTACCTGAGGTAGTCTCAACATTCACTTCCCCCGCCAGTGTAAAAGCCTGTTGAAAAAGAGTGTGGGATCAAACCCATAGCAGCCTGGGACATTTCAGACCGGCACCACCTCCTTGGGCTGTTCCAGGGGCCAACCAGAGGCCAGAGCCTAGTCAGAGGGACTGAAAAGTAAAGAGAAGATTGCAGAGCTTGGGACTTTGTGCAGACGTGCCTGTGAGTTTAGAGGGCGGGCAGGCGGGAGGAGAGAGAGGAGGGTGCTGGGAGCTGAAGCCCCACCTTTCATTCCTGAGAAGTGTACAGACGTTTGGGGATGAGTCACAGGCTCCGGTGCGCCGGATTCCCAAAGGTGAGGGACTGAGTCCTCTGTTCTGGAAAACGCGGGGCTCGCGCCTCCCAGAGTGGCCTTGGCTGGTGTGTGGAGCCCTGGGTCTGCCCGGTCTGGTCTCTGGGGCCAGGGCTGGCTTTCCCTCATGTATGGCAAGAGCCCTACACGCGCGGTACTGCTTCTCTTTGGCATCTGGCTCACAGGTAAGCGCCTGGGGGCTTCTCTCAGCATTTCCTTCTTCCTTGCCCACCCTCTAAAGTTAGCTTATTGTCTGAGAAGTCACTGAGTTTTGCCTGGGAACCTGAGCCACCGTTGAAGCTGATCTGAGTTTTGACTTTACTGAAGTTGGTGCATTGTTTTTGGGGACTTGCTTTTGGACAAACAGGTTTAGGTGTGTTCCGGGCACAGAGAGGGCTTTCTAATCTCAGGTTACAAACCATTTTTGGGGTGGCTGCTCTGAGCCTCACGCAGAGGGCAGGACTTGGTTGTTGGATTTCTGTGTGGGTCTTGTCTGGGACTCTCAGCAGCACTGGGCAAGCTGAGGCTGTTAAGGAGAGAGACCCGCTGTGATTCTGAAGCTGCCCGGACAGGCACATTCTAAATGTAAATATCATTGTAAAAATACCCCGTGGTATAAAGGGTTCAGGGGAGCTGGTAAGCAGAAGCTGTCTGGGTTGTTTGATTCATTTTCTGCGGTAGACTCCTGGCCAGTAAGAAATGCACTTAACAAGGGCTCTTTCTGGAAAACTGACCTGTTGAGGGTCCCTTACACACATTGAGACTAGATTATGTTTAGTACAGTCTAATTCATGTTATGATTAATTTTGATTTTCTTTTTCTGCTTTCAGTTTTATTGAGCATTGCTTGTAGTTTGTTCTAAGAGTTTTGAAGTAGGTACCCTACGCTTAGAGTTCTGTGCTTTGGAGAAAGTGAGAGCAGAAGGAGGATTGCTGGGTGGTATTTTTAGATGTTATATGGAATGGGAGTGTCAAGGTTGCATCCAGGTAGGAGTATACAGACGCTGGGTGAGGTAAATTTCAGAGCTGGCATGTCTCAGATCTTTTATGCCTTCCTAGACATTTATTTTGGCCGCGTCAGCAAATCCCTCACTACACACTCCCGTTAACCCTTCTTTTTCCTTTATTGCAGCTCTCTGGCCGATAGCAGCTGTGGAAATTTACACGTCCCGCGTCCTAGAGGGTGTCAACGGGACAGATATTCGGTTAAAATGCACTTTTGCCAGCTTTGCCCCTGTGGGTGACTCACTAACAGTGACTTGGAATTTTCGCCCTCAAAATGGGGGACCTGAGCAGTTTGTAAGTAGATTATTGCCATTTTTCAGGGGGCCTTGATTTGGAAAATAAGCTAGTCCATTTTTCCTGACCTCCCATATTTTTCTTAGCAACAAGCACAGGGTAAAGCTGGGAGACCACTCTTGGGACATAGATTGACCTGTCTCAAGCGAGTGACTAGGGAAGGGAAATCAAGAGGTTATTATAGGAGAAGTACAGATGGGGCAGTCAGCCTTGCTGGCTCCCTGGCCCAGGTGCTCAGTAAGATCGTTTGCCATTTCTCCTTTCCAGGTATTCTACTTCCATGTGGATCCCTTCAAACCTATGAGTGGACATTTTAAGGATCGGGTGGTCTGGGATGGGAACCCTGACCGCTACGATGTCTCTATCATTCTCTGGAAGCTGCAGTTTGATGACAATGGGACGTACACCTGCCAGGTGAAGAACCCACCTGATGTTGATGGGCTGATCGGGGAGATTCGGCTCAGCGTCGTGCACACTGGTAGGTCACTCCGTGAAAGTGGTTTGGGGAGGTGTGAATGCTGGTAGAGAAGAGAGAGGCAATCTCTCGCGAGGACTGAAAGAGTGGACTTCCCCTTTGGAAGTCACAGAGGAAACTGAAGAGGCTTGGGATAAAAAAGTGAAAGGCTTTGTTTGGCTATGGAAAGAAACAAAAAAGTAAAGCAAAGGGGCCCAGGGACTCTATTACAAAAATGGCATTGAGATCTTGAAAAGGAGAGGAAGCAACTCTCTGATAAAGGGCTAACAATAGGTCTGTTCATTCACTCAGCTATTCACAAGATACTTACTGAGTACCCACTCTGACAGGCAGTGTCCAAAGTGGTTGGCATGCACTGTCACTTAATCCTCACAGCCACCTAGGAGGAGGGTGCCAATAATGGCAGTGTTTATTGAGTACTTCCCACGTGTCACAGGCTTTACATGACACATCTTATTTAGTCTTTATATGTTAGTTTATTTACTGCCCCCATTTTACTAATGAGGAAGCAGGATCATAGAGGTTTTGTCTAAAGGCATGTAGCTGATTAATAGAATTCAAACCCAGGCATCTTTGACCCTCAAATTTTGCTTTAAACTAATGCATTGAGTTGTCTGCAGTCCTGTCAAGGACAATCTGGAAAATGGTGCCAGATAGCAAAGAACAAAGACCAAAGAACTTTAGTGTTGTAAATCTGGTTTTGAGTTACTACTGCTATTACACAGCTATAAGAAACTCCCCCCCACCCTTTGCATAGTGAGAATAAAATAGCAAGAATTATGGTGAGGATAAAATGAAATAATAAATATAAAAAATGCCTCAACCTTGAATTGTATTGAAAATTATAATAGTTGCCATAGATTGAGCATTTATTATGTACACTCACAGCATGGGGCAATTTCTTAATAAGAACCCAAGAAACAGATTCTGTGAGCTGTAATTTATATGTTGAGGAAACTGAGGCTCACAGAAATTCTCCCCAATCACACTGCTCTGCTATCTACCTGTCTCTGCTAAAGTAATACCAGCATATGCTATTACTTCCAAACATATATGTCTGTAAAGTGGTGTGATTTCTCCTTTCCTTCCTTGTGCCAACCCTCTAGGCCCTATCAATTGATGGCCATTTGAGTAATGCAAGAAGTAGATGGAGGAGGAGAGGCCGTTTGAGTAATGTCAGACATAATGTAACATCTTTGGAATGGAGTCTCTTCATCTACAAAATGAATAGGTTAGATAAGAATACAGTGGTTCTTAAACACATTGAGAACACTAAGAATATAATGAAAACTGTGGTCCTACACACACACACACACACACACACACACACACAGCACACACTCACAAGACATTGATCTTGGACCTCTGGCACCACCACCATTGTCCTCAGGGCCAGGAACCCCTGGTTAGACATTCTCTTTTAATATCTTTTCTGGTTCTTAGGGTATATTGAAGTTTAAATTAGAAATTGCTATGAAAGATAGGAAACCCAAGCTTCATATACTCTAGCCTGGTTTAAGGACTCTTTTATTTGTACTACTTATCCAGTGGACTATACTTACTGATCTACTTGCCTGTGGTCATGAGTTTCTTGAAGATTTTTCCTTGGCTTTGTACTTCCATCATAGTGCCTGGAACATGGTAGACCCTTAAGAAACTTGAGTGAACAGGGCCCTCCCTGGTGGCACAGCGAGGTAAAGCACAGCACTAAGAAGCTAAAGCCACTTCAGCATGAGTTCAATCCCCAGCCCCGGAGGTGACCCACATGATGCAGCAGACCTCTCCTGACCCACCTGCTGCTCCCCTCAGCAGTGGACTTCGTCGATCTGCCTATTCTGCTCCCCTCTCTGTCTCTGGTGCAGCCTCTCACCACCCCTGTACCTCTGTATGCATAAATAAATAAATCTTTAAAAAAAACTTGAGTGAACAACTGGCTGAATGAGCGGCATCAGGAAGAAGTAATTTGAGCAATCGATTTGATTAGGTCAGCAATAACCTTACTCTACTAGGTAGTTCAACTGGCCTAGTGGCTCTCAAAATTTGAGCATGTATTAGAGTCACCTGGAGGACATGTTAAAACAGATTGCTGGGCCCCACCCTTAATTCAGTAGTAGGTGTGGGGGTGGGGCCCGGTAATTTGCATTTCAAAGTCCTCAAGTAATACTGCTGCAGCTACTCCTAAGACCATACCTTAGGAACCACTAAAGTAGGCTGTATGGTTTTCCTATAGCTTCTAGTTTTTGTCAGCTAATATGGCAGGAGAAAGGAAGATTCCAGTTAATAATGCAAATAAATCGCTAAAATATCTTTACATTTTATCACCATCCTCCTCTTTTTAGAAATTCTGACTTGATCTTTCTCTTTCACAGCTAGCTTCTCTGAGATGTACTTCCTGGCTCTGGTCATCGGCTCTGCCAGTGCACTGATGATCATAGTAGTGATTGCTGTGGTCCTCTTCCAGCATTTCCGGAAAAATCGATGGGCTAAAAGAGCTCATAAAGTAGTAGAGATGAAATCGTAAGTCTGGATAGTTCTGGGAAAGTCCTCTTCTCGCACTTTTACTGTGACTGTATTTTGTGGTGGAGCTAAGTAATCATTGAACAGGTGTTCTTTCCTTTGAGTAAGTCTTAAATGAAAGAATTCAAATTCACATGACTGCTAAATTAGGGTGTGATTAATAACGTTACAAATGATTTCTTAATTTTACCTTATACTTTATTGTGTATGACTTTACCATTAGGATTTTCTATTATACAAGAAATGCTTGTGTAAAGCTTTTCTAGGATATACCTTACTTTTTTTTAAAGATTTATTTATGCACACAGAGCTGGAGTACAGGTCACAGGTACAGGGGTGGTGAGAGGCTTCACCAGAGACTGAGTGGGAAGCAGAACATGCAGATCGAGGAAGCACACTGCTGAGGGGAGCAGCGGGTGGGTCTGGAGAGGTCTGCCGCGCCATGTGGGTCAGCTCCTGGGCAGGGGTCCAACTCATGCTGCAGTGACTTTAGCTTCTTGGTGCTGTGCTTTAACCTGCTGCACCACCAGGGAGGGCCTGATATTCCTTACTTTTAATGTAAAGCATACATTTGTAAAAACCACTGGGTGGTCAGCAGGGGCACTATGAATGAATATCTAGGAAAGTTAGCCATGCCCAATCAGTATTAAAAACATTTTTTGGGTTTTTTTTTCCATTAAAATGTTTTTCTTCTTTCAATATTTTCCTAAGATAAAATTCACATAATATGTAATAATATTCACATTTCATATAAATGGAATCTTATAGTATATGGCCTTTTGTGTCTGGCTTCTTTGTGTGTTTTCAAAGTTTATCTATGTGATGGCATATCGTCATGCATTTTATGTGTAATCTTCCATTGTCTGTAGATAACATATATATATTTTACTATTTTACTATTCAATTAGTGGACATTTAGGTTTTCTTTTTTTTTTTTTGCTATTATGACAAAAACTGCTATGAACATATATGTACAAGTTTTTGTATCTATATTTTCAACTTTTTTGGATATACATAGGAGTGGAATTGTTGTGACATATGGTAACTCCATGTTTGCCTGTTTCCAAAACAACTACACCATTTCATATTTCTACCAGTAATTTATGAAGATTCTAATTTGTCTACATCCTTGACAACACTAGTTATTGGCTAGACTTTTGCTTATAGCAATCTACTGGATATGAAATGGTACCTCATTGAAATTTGATTTCCATTTCCTAATGACTAATGGTGTTGAAAAAATCTTTCCATGGGCTTACTGGCTATTTGCATCTCTTATTCGGAGATATAGAAATTAAAATATTTTGCTATTTAAAAATTGGATTGTCTTTTCACTGTTGAATTCTAAGGGTTCTTTATATATTTTGGAGTATCCAAAGTGTATTGTTAGATATATGATTTACAGTTATTTTCCCCTAATCCAGAGGTTACCGTTTCATTTTCTTGATAATGTGCTTGAAGCACAGTATTTTAATTTTTTTATGAAAGCCAAATTTTTTCTTTGTTGCTGGTGCTATAGGTGTTACCAAAGAAACCACTGCCTAACCCAATGGGTCATGACAATTTCTTCCGATTGTCTTCGAGGGGCTTAGTTCCTACATAGAGGTCTTTGATTAATTTTTGAGTTAATTTTTGTATATTAGAAAAATTGTGAAGTAGGGATCCAAATTCATTATTTTGCAGTTGCAGTTTTTCAAGTGCTCCAGTATCTATTATTTCTTTTCTCAAAGACATATTTGCTAAAGTAGATATTACTGAACATAGAAGCCTAATGGACCTAACTCTGAGATTTTGATTTGAGTAGACTATATGCAATAAAGATGACTTCTAGGTCAATACAAAACATTTTCTTTTTGAATAAAGAGTGGACTTAGATAACACATAATGTAATGTCATTTAATAATTAAAATTATAATTAATAAATTATAAAGGTAAACTAAGGTATGTCCTTTAAGCCCCTGAAATTTCCAAATTATATCCTCTTATAAAATATTCTGGACAATGTCTTAACTTCAGATAACCAGAGTCATATGGAGTCACATGGAGTCATATGAATGTTTACCAGTTGGTTTTGTCCTCTGTATGCTTGGGTCTACTTGTAGATCTATTCATGTAATTCTTCCCAAGTTATGGGGAGATGTCAGAAGCTTTGCAGTGTTTGCCTCCCTTGTTTCTTGTTTTGTTTAGCTCACTTTAGTTTCTGCTACTTTGTTATAGGAAAGAAGAGGAAAAGCTCAACCAGGAAAAAAAGGTCTCTGTTTATTTAGAAGACATAGACTAACATTCTTAGATGGTAAGTTTCCTAAGTGGGTTGATATTTCCCCCTTAGCTTCCTTGTCTAGTCGGTCTCTAATGTGGATCTTCCAGATTATGACAGTCAGTGTTTCCTATATGACATTTGAGAAGCTGGACCAGGGAGATAAGTGACCCTTCAGTTTTAGCTATTACTTTCTCTTTGAGTGTATTTTGTGCAAAAGATTCGGAGGTTAGATCATGACACCTGAGAGCATTCTAAGA